GCACGGTTGGGAAGGACTGTGGCAAGCATGGCATGAAGCTAACAGTGGGGTCGAGGTGAAGTTGCATTTTTCCAATATGACATGTTGAAGAAGATTGAATTGGTCCATAAGCTTTCAGTCTGGGTTCAGTTTGGTTTGAGTCACCCTGATCCATGAGTGTCCCCAGAGGATGTTTTGATTGAAGGTGGAAGTTTTGTATAATCCTCACAACAAATCATGTAGGGTCCAGGTTCGATGCAGTCAGATGGTACGGTAGTAGACTGATGAATCAGCCCACACCCCAGACAAAAAGCCCTAAAATTTGTATACACTGCAAAGCAATCACCAAAAACAAACTTCATCCTCCAAAGCAAACAACCGTAGTGAGTGAGCTTCCTGTTACTCTCAGAGATGCATAAGGGCATTCTCCATAACTAACAATCATGAGACCACCTTCGTTGGGAGCGTATACAGTGGCATGAGAAGCAATTTGCCTTCGAAGTTTTCCATTTATACAGGTAAGCAAAGCAACATGCCAATCCACAACCTACTTACAGTGCAATCATATCCATTGTTAAGCTCCCTAAACTTGTCAGTACTGCGGCGGTATTTCTTAGCGATCAACATGCCGCATGTGTCTCCTCGCTTCACACTGTATGTTCTCTTGGTGGAACATGAAATGCCAGACAACGGCCGGGCATCAATAGCAGCCACACAAACCTGCGAGTCAACTCAACCATCAGTACAACAAGGGGAAGAACAAGACCTGCATAAGTTCACATTCATGCAGTACATACACCCAGACAGACATACAGACAGACAGACAAACACACAGACACAGACAAACACACGGAAAGACACACAGACAAACACACAGACAGACACACACACACAGAAACACATAGACAGACACACGGACAGACGCACAGAGACACACACAGACAGATACACACAGAGACAGACGCCCAGACAATCGCACAGACAGACACACAGACAGGCACACGGACCGACACACAGACGGACGGACGGACGGACATGCATGCGCGCACACACATTCTAGCCGGCTGTGAAGCACATAAGTGCAACCAGCTCCCACCGTTTCTGACAGAATCTTGCATGTCACTGCCTGAAACTACTCCCAGAAACGAGTTTTGAGTCGACTCAAGAATCTCGACTCAAGAATCTAATTTTGAGTTGACTCAAGAATCTTGACTCAAGAATCTGGCATGTCACTGCCTGAAACTACTACCAGAAACGGATTTCTTGCAGCCCACTCATCTACTGCTCACACCCTCAACCCCTTGGTTGAGTTAAGAGTCGCCCCTAAGTCGAAAAAACTCGAAGTTTTAATGGACTCGACTCGACTCTGGGCCAAGAAAAGGACTCGCAGAACTAGTCGAGTGAAATTCGACTCGTCATTTGTCCACGTCTAGTGTGCGGAGCCCAAGTGTGGGCTGCTTGGCAGTGGGCTGGCGGATGCAGGAGGTATTCTGGGAGACCAAGACCATTTCCTTACCTTTTTGCACTCTTGCACACTCTCTCACAGACTCTCTCTCTTGCACACACTCTCACACACTCTTGCACACTCTCTTGGACTCTCTCTCAGAGTCTTTTGCATTGCACAAACTTGCACACTTTCTTACACACTCTCTTCCAGAATTTCTTGCACACACTCTCTTTCACACACTCAGGCCGTGCAACCCAGCTCACCTTACTCATCACATTTCCCTGCAGCGGGCTGTATGGCAGCAAGGAGTCGCACGAGAGGCCGGGGTTCACCTGGAAGACTTTGAGTCGACTTAAAAACCACCCCACATGCAAGCCGTCCAGCTCACCCTACTGATCACATTCCCCCGCAAGGGGCTGCACGACAGCAAGGAGTCGCACGAGAGCCCGGGGTTCATCTGGAAGAAGCGCGTGGGAGAGGCGATGGCAAACGCCCAGAGCCCCCTCCCTCCGCTTCCTTTCACCCATTCCCCGTTCCTTTCTCCACTACCCATCCCCCCACTTGCCCCCCCACCCACCAAACACAGGCTGTGCAACCCAACTCACCTTACTCATCACATTCCCCTGCAGGGGGCTGTATGGCAGCAAGGAGTCGCACGAGAGGCCGGGGTTCATCTGGAAGAAGCGCGTGGGAGAGGCGATGGCAAACGCTACCCATCCCCCCAGTTGCCCCTCCACACCAGGCCGTGCAACCCAGTTACCCAGCTCACCTTACTCATCACATTCCCCTGCAGCGGGCTGTGCGGCAGCAGCGCATACCCCACCTCCTCACCCCCACGCAGGCCGTGCAACCCAACTCACCCTACTGATCATATTCCCTCGCAGCCGGCTGCACGACAGCAAGGAGTCGCACGAGAGGCCGGGGTTCATCTGGAAGAAGCGCGTGGGGGGGGCGATGGCAAACACTACCCATCCCCCCACTTGTCCCCCCACCCACCGCACACAAGCCGTCCAACTCACCCTACTGATCACATTCCCCTGCAGGGGGCTGTACGACAGCAGGGCAGCACACAGGCAACCAAGCTCACCTTACTCATCATATTTCCCTGCAGCGGGCTGTACGGCAGCAAGGAGTCGCACGAGAGGCCGGGGTTCATCTGGAAAAATCTTGTCGGGGAGGGGATGCCAAACGCCTGCCACAGCTGCTGGCAGGACTGCGGGCCCTGTAGCACCTTCATGAACACGCCGTTGTTCATGTAGTCGACTAGGGGAGCTGGTGGTTGAGGGCTCGAAGGTGGTGTGGCTGGGATGATCAGGGCGGAGACTTGGCATGCCACGCGGGTTTTTTCTATGTCTAGCCACGTTCGGTTGAAGTCCACACAGAGGAGCTGTGGGGGAAGGAGAAGGGGGAGAGGGGGGAGAAAAGGAAGAGGGGGGAGAAGGGGGAGAGGGGGGAGAAGGGGGAGAGAGGGGAGAAGGGGGGGAGAGGGGAGAAGGGGGAGAGAGGGGAGAAGGGGGAGTCAACACCAAAAGCCTGCCACAGCTGCTGGCAGGACTGCGGTCCCTGCATCACCCTCACTGTCACACCGTTGTTCGTATACTCGACTAGAGGAGGGGGTGGTTGAGGGCTTGGAGGTGGTGTGTCTGGGGGTGTGGTGATGGCTGGGGTGATCTGGGCAAAGACTTGGCATGCCACGCGGGTTCTTTCCAAGTCTAGCCACGTGCGGTTGAAGTCAACACAGAGGAGCTGTGGGGGAGGGAGAAGAGGGGAGAGGGAGGAGGGAGAGACGAGATGGGGGAGAGGGGTGGAGAGGAATGGGTGAGTTGGGCAGAGACTCGGCATGCCACGCGGGTTTTCGCCAGCTCTAGCCACGTCCGGTTGAAGTCCACACAGAGGAGCTCCGAAGGGGGAAGGGAGGAGAGGAATGTGTGATCAGGGCAGAGACTTGGCACGCCACGCGGGTTTTTTCCAAGTCTAGCCACGTCCGGTTGAAGTCCACACAGAGGAGCTGGGAATGGGGAGAAGGGGGGAGAGAGGAGGGAGCGAGGAGGGATGGAGGCGGAAGGGAGGGAGGAGGGAGAGAGGGGGAGGGGGGAGAGAGGAGGAGGCGGGAGAGGGGAGAGAGGAGGGGGGACAGGGGAGAGAGGAGAGGGGAGAGAGGGGAGGAGGGGGGGAAAGAATGTGTGAATAGATGCCCATTTTCTGTGGACTTCGAGTTCTGAGATGAATGAAGGCATGAATAACTGTGTGAATCGCGTTGCGATGCGTGCGGTGCGAGGTTATGCAATGCGATGCAACGGGATGCAAGCATGCGATATGATGTGATGCGAGAACTTCCACAAACAATAGAGCCGCTTTTGAGGATTTCTCAAAAGCGGGATGCAAGCATGCGATATAATGTGATGCAAGAACTTCCAGGAGCAATGGAGCCCATCTTGGGCTTTAGTGATTTATCTGCACCTGCACTTATTAGCACCTGCACTTATTAGCACCTGCACTTATTAGCACCTGCACTTATTAGCCTGCACTTATTAGCACCAGCACTTATTAGCACCTGCACTTATTAGCACCTGCACTTATTAGCACCTGCACTTATTAGCCTGCACTTATTAGCACCAGCACTTATTAGCACCTGCACTTATTAGCACCTGCACTTATTAGCACCTGCACTTATTAGCCTGCACTTATTAGCACCAGCACTTATTAGCACCTGCACTTATTAGCACCTGCACTTATTAGCACCTGCACTTATTAGCACCTGCACTAGTTCATCTGCAACTGCAGCACACACATGGTCGGGCCGAAGCCCATCAGAGCAGGTGAGGGCGGGGTTGAGCGGCTGTATGCGCGTGGAGAAACACTCACTTGAACTCATCTGCACCCACATAAACAAATGTACACTCACCTAAACCTACTTGCATCCACCTGCATCCACCTGCGCCCACCTGCGCTGCGCCCGCCTGCACTCATCGGCACTCATCTGCACCCATCATATGCACCCACCTGGCCGGGTCAGGGCCCATCAGAGCACGTGGGTTGCTTACACCTGCACCCGTCTCCACTCATCTGCACTCATCTCCACTCATCTCCACTCATCACCTGCAGCAGAACCCACCTGGCCGGGTCGGGGCCCATCAGAGCAGCTGAGGGCGGGGTTGAGTGGCTGAATGCGCGTGGAGAAGAGGGCGTTGAGGGAGTCACACGTGTCACCCTGCAGACATGGGAGGGAGTGGGAAGCAAAAGCGAGGTTATTAGGAGATTCGAGTTGAATGGCTGTAGGTGCGTGGAGAAGAGGGCGTTGAGGGAGTCACATGAGTCACCCTACAAGCACACATGTGAGGATGGGTTTAGAAGGGAGTGGGAAGAGAATGCGAGGTTATTGGGGAAATCGAGTTGAGCGTCTGTAGGCGAGTGGAAAAGCGAGCGTTGAGGGAGTCACACGAGTCACCCTGCAGACACACATGTCAGGTTTAGGGCACATTCCAGGCTCGTGTCAATCTGCGATTGGTGTCAGATGCCAATCGCGCTTGACACGAGGTGGAGCCGCGCCCGCACGCGGCTCCAGCCTAATCCAATGTTGAGCACATTGGGCCACTTCCTGCAATCACAATGGTCGGTTTAGCTGACACCAGGAGGAATATTCCTCCAGCAGTTTTCAGTTGACACCGCAGCACCCATGGGGGTCAGGACCCCAGCCACAGTGGGGACCCAGCCCTCCTCCCTGGCCGCAGCAGCAGTTGAACTTTGGCACAGCAGCCATGGCCGCTCAAGCCTCACCTGCCCCCCTTTGGGGTGCCCCACCCCCCCCAAGTAGCACTGCCACCCCTCTCACTCACGAGAGCTTCCTTGGCAACATAGCTATTTCGCCCTCTCTTCCTTCCATGTACCCATCCAACATTAATGAAACCACTTTCCAGTACTCAGTGTCTTCCTCCTCCTCCTCACCCACTCTGGACTTTGTCCTTGACAGTGGGGCCACTGAGACCGCCCTCAAAGACGCTGGTACACTCACACCCCTCTCCCCTCCCACTCAAGTTCACGGTGCTGACAGCAGCTTCACCATCCCATGCACACACCTCTCCACTCTCCCCTGTTCACTCTTCCCCTCTGGCAAGGTAACTGGTCTCCACATCCCCACTCTCCGAAACAACCTCCTCTCCCACCGTGAAATCCAAGGTGCAGGTATCACTGCCGTCTATCCTGGTAATGCCACCTACTGTGACCTTTACCACACTGCCTCCGGCCGCTTCCTCCTCCGCATACCCCTCTGCCCTCGCACTCGCCTCTACACTCTCCGCACTCCGTGGCCATCCTCCTGCCATGTTACCACTCGTGCGGGTACCTCCACCAGCCCTCCCCATCTCCCTCCCTCTCCTCCCACTCCGTCTCCTCCCCACTCCTCCATCCCTTCCTCACTCATTCCAATCCCCTCCACCTCCGACCATCTCTCCCACCCCGCTGTTCTCCTACATCACCGACTCGGCCATCCGAATTTTGCCGCTCTCCGCACTGCCGTCACCTCACGACTTCTTCACAGCCTCCCTCCAACGCTTCCTCCCCTTCCCTCCTCCCCAGCCCCCCCATGCCCCTCCTGCATCCACGGCAAACTCAAACAATCTCCTCACCACAGCCACCCATCCTTCGCTCCTGCACCCATTGACCTTGTCCATATGGACCTCTGGGGGCCCTCTCCCACCCGCTCACGCCAAGGCCATCGCTACATGTTGGTTCTTGTTGACGATCACAGCCGCTACTCCTCCATTTTCCTCCTCCACACCAAAGACCAGGCGCCGACCATTATCATTAACTGGGCAGAGCAATGCCGCACCCACTTCAAACGTCCCATCGGCCGCCTCCACTCTGATGGGGGAGGCGAATTCCTCAACCGCACTCTCTCTCACTACTGCACCACCCATGGCATCCAACAGACCCACACTCTTCCCCACTCCCCACAGCAGAACGGCGTTGCAGAAAGCCGCATTCGCGAAATCACTAAGATCGCCCGCTGTCTCCTTGCTCACGCCTCCACCCCTCCCTCTCTCTGGGGCTATGCCCTCCTCCATGCTGCCCTCCTCCTCAACCTTCACTCCCATCCCCAACACACTGCCGCTACCCCCACGGAGCTCTGGTCAGGAACCAAACCTGACGCTGCCGGTCTCCGTGTCTGGGGTTGCAAGGCATATGTGCTTATTCCTCCACCCGACCGCACCCAAGGCAAGCTCGCTCCTCGCGCCCTCGAGTGTGTCTACCTCGGACACAACCGCGACTCGCCTGGTTACCTCTTCCTTCACCCTCCCTCTGGTCGCCTCATCCGCAGCATTGACGTTGTGTTCGATGAGACCACCCCGTACTACTCCTCCCCACCACCGGACCCCCTCCCTCCTCCCACACGTCCTCTCGCTTGGGCCGACACCGTCCTCCCTCCCCTCCTCCCTCCGGCACCTCTTCTCCCACCCCTCCCCACCCCGCTTCCGCCACCTTCATCCGCCGACGTCTACGATCCCACTGCTCCTGCCTCCCCCGCACACTCCACGGCTCCCCCTCCCCCCTCCCCTTCCCACTCCCCTCCTCATCCATCACAGCAGCAGCAGCAGCAGCAGCAGCAGCAGCAGCAGCAGCAGCAGCAGCAGCAGCAGCAGCAGCAGCAGCAGCAGCAGCAGCAGCAGCAGCAGCAGCAGCAGCAGCAGCAGCAGCAGCAGCAGCAGCAGCAGCAGCAGCAGCAGCAGCAGCAGCAGCAGCAGCAGCAGCAGCAGCAGCAGCAGCAGCAGCAGCAGCAGCAGCAGCAGCAGCAGCAGCAGCAGCAGCAGCAGCAGCAGCAGCAGCAGCAGCAGCAGCAGCAGCAAGCAGCACCAGCAGCAGCAGCAGCCGCAGCAGCCACAACAGCAACAGCAGCCGCAGCAGCAGCAGCAGGGGCAGCAGCCGCAGCAGCAGCAGGGGTTCCAGCAGCACCAGCAGCAGCAGCGGCGCAGGGCAATTGCCCGCTCCTCACCCTTCCTCCTCCCTCGCATGCACACCCGCTCCCTTGACCCCATCCTTGGTGCACCGTCTCCTCCCTCCCTCAACCAACTGGAGGACTCCCATGAGGAGTTCACCATGGTCCGGCGCCACACTCCCTCTCTCACAGTACTTTCCCCTGACCTCCTCGGCGCCCTACTCCTTAGCGCGATCCCCGCTCCCACCATCTTCGTCCCCTCCACTTTCCAAGAGGCTATCACCTGCCCTGACGCCGATAAGTGGATAGCCGCCATCTTTCAGGAATGTGAAGCATTCATCCACAATAACTCCTTCATTGACGTTCCCCTCCCTCCTGACGCCAACCTGGTTGAGGGCAAGTGGATCTTTCGAGTCAAGCAGCTGCCGGGAGAAGAACCAGTCTACAAAGCCCGCTACGTTGCCAAGGGGTTCACCCAGACCTGGGCTGAGGACTACTGGTTCACGTTCGCCCCCACCGTCAAGCAGGCCACCCTACGCACCCTTCTTGACATCGGTGCAAGAGACGACATGGAGATTGACTCCATGGACGTCTCCAACGCTTTCCTGCAAGGTGAACTGCACGAACGCATCTTTCTCCGCCGACCTCCCGGGTTCCATGCTACGTTCCCCGACAACACCGTCTGGCAGCTGAAGCGACCGGTCTACGGCCTGAAGCAGGCACCACGAGAATGGCATGCGAAGCTGTCTGCTACTCTCCAGTCCCTTGGCTTCTCCCCCTCCCACTCCGACGCCAGCCTCTTCATCCGCTCTTCCCCCAGTCGCTTTTTCATCTCGGTCTACGTTGACGACATGATCCTGCTGGCGGACTCCAGGGCCGACATGGACCAGATGAAGCGGTCACTTCAGGAACGACTCAAGTGCAAGGACCTTGGTCCCCTCCAGAACTACCTCGGCATGGCTATCACCCGTGATCGATCCGCCCGCACCATCACTCTCTCCCAGTCCCACTACATCGGCCAGGTCCTGGAGAAGTTTGAGATGGCGCAGGCCAAACCAGTCTCCACCCCCCTCCCCTTCGGTCACCAACTTGCGCCACCCACCTCCCCCTCCTCCTCCTCCCGGCCCTACGCCGAGCTCGTTGGGTCGCTGATGTACGCGATGATGTGCACCCGCCCCGACCTCGCCTACCCCGTCAGCGTCCTTGCTCGGTTCGTCGGCTCTGGCCGTCACACTGAGGAACACTGGGCTGCCGCCAAGCGGGTCCTTCGCTATCTCTGCGGCACCAAGGATCACGCTCTCACACTGGGTGGATCCTCCCCTCCCCTTCTCTCGGGCTTCAGTGACTCCTCTTGGGCAGACAATCAGCCAGACCGCCGCTCCTCCCAAGGCTATGGCTTTACCCTCGGCAGCGGACTTATCAGCTGGCGTTCCACCCGCTCCTCAGCCATCGCTCTCTCTTCCTGCGAAGCTGAGCTCTATGCGGGCACCATGGCCGCTCAAGAGTCCCGCTGGCTCTGCTTTCTTCTGGCAGAGCTTGGTGCCCCCCAGCGCTGTCCCACGCTCTGGTGTGACAACGCCAGCACCATCCACCTCACCCAGGATCCAGTCTTTCATGGTCGCTCCAAGCATATCGAGCTCCGTTATTTCTTCATCCGCGACCTCGTCCGACAGAATCTTATCGCCGTCCGCAAGATCGCCACTGAAGCCAATTTGGCGGATATCTTCACCAAAGCACTTCTTCGCCCCGCGCACTCTGCTCTCCTCCGCCTCATTGGCCTCGCTCCCCCAGGCGCGCCTTGATTCAGGGGTTGCTTCTCTCCAGCCTTTCCGCATCTCTGCAGGTTAAGGGGTTGTGTTAGAATATCTCCTCTCTTGTAACCTGCATATATGCTATAGGATAGGCTAGAGATAAGCACCCAAACTTAGTTTGGGTGTACAAGCAGGGGTTACCCAATTTGTAGGTTGGAAACCCAACCTTGGTCCAATTATTGGACCCCAAGGGTTGGGATGGGTAGAATTATTGGTCCCCTCCAATAATGTTGGCCCAACTCCAACTTGGCCAACATTATTGGACCCCACCAATAATCTCCCAACCCAACTCCTTGGTTGGGGTCCAATAATGTTCACCTAGGCTAGTTTCCAACTCATCTCCTATGTAAACCCCCCATCCTTTCAATCAATCCATCAACTTCTCTTCTAACTTTTCTTCTCACATAAGGGTGTGTGTAGTAGGTGCGTGTTGTCTTACATGCATAAGGGTGTGTGTAGTAGGTGCGTGTTGTCTTACATGCATAAGGGTGTGTGTAGTAGGTGCGTGTTGTCTTACATGCATAAGGGTGTGTGTAGTAGGTGCGTGTTGTCTTACATGCATAAGGGTGTGTGTAGTAGGTGCGTGTTGTCTTACATGCATAAGGGTGTGTGTAGTAGGTGCGTGTTGTCTTACATGCATAAGGGTGTGTGTAGTAGGTGCGTGTTGTCTTCCAGGCATCAGGCACTAAGAGGCTTTTTTGAATCTTGTATTCTCCCATCGATCCTTACTCGCTGCTTAACCCAAGTGACCTTTTGCCACCCGTTGCAATCATGCGTTTTTCTTCCTACATCACACCTTGGGACTATCTCTTGCTTGCTTGATCACCTGCAACTGGTTGCTGCTACCTTCACCAAGAACACTGTCTGCTACATGCAACAGAGATTTGGCACTCTCTAACCCAGCTTTCTTCTTCCGGGTGCATGTCTCCTTCCTCCATCTCTCACTCATATCCGATTTTTGATTCGACTAAAAAATCCACTCTCTAACCCAGCTTTGTTCCTCCTGGTGCATGTCTCCTTCCTGCATCTCTCACTCACATCCGTCTCTTGACCCCGTCTGCCTACAGTCTTTCAGTGGGGTGGTCGCTTCTTGGGCTCTACCTTTGGCCGCAGGCACAGCCTGGCGGAGGTATCAAGCACTGCTTTGAGTCGACTCAAAATGCATCTCTCTCTCTCTCTCTCATATACAAATCTCTCTCTCTCTCTCTCGCTCTCTTGACCCGTCTGCCTACAGTCTTTCAGTGGGGTGGTCGCTTCTTGGGCCCTACCTTTGGCCGCAGGCACCACCTGGCGGAGGTATCAAGCACTGCTGCTTTTGATGCCTGTGATATCAAGGCAGTTTCCAAGGTGCACGTGAAGCCCACGCGCAAGGCTAGAAAGTCTTTCACTGTTGGAGCACGGCAGCTGTTTGTTAGCACGGTTGGGAAGGACTGTGGCAAGCATGGCATGAAGCTAACAGTGGGGTCGAGGTGAAGTTGCATTTTTCCAATATGACATGTTGAAGAAGATTGAATTGGTCCATAAGCTTTCAGTCTGGGTTCAGTTTGGTTTGAGTCACCCTGATCCATGAGTGTCCCCAGAGGATGTTTTGATTGAAGGTGGAAGTTTTGTATAATCCTCACAACAAATCATGTAGGGTCCAGGTTCGATGCAGTCAGATGGTACGGTAGTAGACTGATGAATCAGCCCACACCCCAGACAAAAAGCCCTAAAATTTGTATACACTGCAAAGCAATCACCAAAAACAAACTTCATCCTCCAAAGCAAACAACCGTAGTGAGTGAGCTTCCTGTTACTCTCAGAGATGCATAAGGGCATTCTCCATAACTAACAATCATGAGACCACCTTCGTTGGGAGCGTATACAGTGGCATGAGAAGCAATTTGCCTTCGAAGTTTTCCATTTATACAGGTAAGCAAAGCAACATGCCAATCCACAACCTACTTACAGTGCAATCATATCCATTGTTAAGCTCCCTAAACTTGTCAGTACTGCGGCGGTATTTCTTAGCGATCAACATGCCGCATGTGTCTCCTCGCTTCACACTGTATGTTCTCTTGGTGGAACATGAAATGCCAGACAACGGCCGGGCATCAATAGCAGCCACACAAACCTGCGAGTCAACTCAACCATCAGTACAACAAGGGGAAGAACAAGACCTGCATAAGTTCACATTCATGCAGTACATACACCCAGACAGACATACAGACAGACAGACAAACACACAGACACAGACAAACACACGGAAAGACACACAGACAAACACACAGACAGACACACACACACAGAAACACATAGACAGACACACGGACAGACGCACAGAGACACACACAGACAGATACACACAGAGACAGACGCCCAGACAATCGCACAGACAGACACACAGACAGGCACACGGACCGACACACAGACGGACGGACGGACGGACATGCATGCGCGCACACACATTCTAGCCGGCTGTGAAGCACATAAGTGCAACCAGCTCCCACCGTTTCTGACAGAATCTTGCATGTCACTGCCTGAAACTACTCCCAGAAACGAGTTTTGAGTCGACTCAAGAATCTCGACTCAAGAATCTAATTTTGAGTTGACTCAAGAATCTTGACTCAAGAATCTGGCATGTCACTGCCTGAAACTACTACCAGAAACGGATTTCTTGCAGCCCACTCATCTACTGCTCACACCCTCAACCCCTTGGTTGAGTTAAGAGTCGCCCCTAAGTCGAAAAAACTCGAAGTTTTAATGGACTCGACTCGACTCTGGGCCAAGAAAAGGACTCGCAGAACTAGTCGAGTGAAATTCGACTCGTCATTTGTCCACGTCTAGTGTGCGGAGCCCAAGTGTGGGCTGCTTGGCAGTGGGCTGGCGGATGCAGGAGGTATTCTGGGAGACCAAGACCATTTCCTTACCTTTTTGCACTCTTGCACACTCTCTCACAGACTCTCTCTCTTGCACACACTCTCACACACTCTTGCACACTCTCTTGGACTCTCTCTCAGAGTCTTTTGCATTGCACAAACTTGCACACTTTCTTACACACTCTCTTCCAGAATTTCTTGCACACACTCTCTTTCACACACTCAGGCCGTGCAACCCAGCTCACCTTACTCATCACATTTCCCTGCAGCGGGCTGTATGGCAGCAAGGAGTCGCACGAGAGGCCGGGGTTCACCTGGAAGACTTTGAGTCGACTTAAAAACCACCCCACATGCAAGCCGTCCAGCTCACCCTACTGATCACATTCCCCCGCAAGGGGCTGCACGACAGCAAGGAGTCGCACGAGAGCCCGGGGTTCATCTGGAAGAAGCGCGTGGGAGAGGCGATGGCAAACGCCCAGAGCCCCCTCCCTCCGCTTCCTTTCACCCATTCCCCGTTCCTTTCTCCACTACCCATCCCCCCACTTGCCCCCCCACCCACCAAACACAGGCTGTGCAACCCAACTCACCTTACTCATCACATTCCCCTGCAGGGGGCTGTATGGCAGCAAGGAGTCGCACGAGAGGCCGGGGTTCATCTGGAAGAAGCGCGTGGGAGAGGCGATGGCAAACGCTACCCATCCCCCCAGTTGCCCCTCCACACCAGGCCGTGCAACCCAGTTACCCAGCTCACCTTACTCATCACATTCCCCTGCAGCGGGCTGTGCGGCAGCAGCGCATACCCCACCTCCTCACCCCCACGCAGGCCGTGCAACCCAACTCACCCTACTGATCATATTCCCTCGCAGCCGGCTGCACGACAGCAAGGAGTCGCACGAGAGGCCGGGGTTCATCTGGAAGAAGCGCGTGGGGGGGGCGATGGCAAACACTACCCATCCCCCCACTTGTCCCCCCACCCACCGCACACAAGCCGTCCAACTCACCCTACTGATCACATTCCCCTGCAGGGGGCTGTACGACAGCAGGGCAGCACACAGGCAACCAAGCTCACCTTACTCATCATATTTCCCTGCAGCGGGCTGTACGGCAGCAAGGAGTCGCACGAGAGGCCGGGGTTCATCTGGAAAAATCTTGTCGGGGAGGGGATGCCAAACGCCTGCCACAGCTGCTGGCAGGACTGCGGGCCCTGTAGCACCTTCATGAACACGCCGTTGTTCATGTAGTCGACTAGGGGAGCTGGTGGTTGAGGGCTCGAAGGTGGTGTGGCTGGGATGATCAGGGCGGAGACTTGGCATGCCACGCGGGTTTTTTCTATGTCTAGCCACGTTCGGTTGAAGTCCACACAGAGGAGCTGTGGGGGAAGGAGAAGGGGGAGAGGGGGGAGAAAAGGAAGAGGGGGGAGAAGGGGGAGAGGGGGGAGAAGGGGGAGAGAGGGGAGAAGGGGGGGAGAGGGGAGAAGGGGGAGAGAGGGGAGAAGGGGGAGTCAACACCAAAAGCCTGCCACAGCTGCTGGCAGGACTGCGGTCCCTGCATCACCCTCACTGTCACACCGTTGTTCGTATACTCGACTAGAGGAGGGGGTGGTTGAGGGCTTGGAGGTGGTGTGTCTGGGGGTGTGGTGATGGCTGGGGTGATCTGGGCAAAGACTTGGCATGCCACGCGGGTTCTTTCCAAGTCTAGCCACGTGCGGTTGAAGTCAACACAGAGGAGCTGTGGGGGAGGGAGAAGAGGGGAGAGGGAGGAGGGAGAGACGAGATGGGGGAGAGGGGTGGAGAGGAATGGGTGAGTTGGGCAGAGACTCGGCATGCCACGCGGGTTTTCGCCAGCTCTAGCCACGTCCGGTTGAAGTCCACACAGAGGAGCTCCGAAGGGGGAAGGGAGGAGAGGAATGTGTGATCAGGGCAGAGACTTGGCACGCCACGCGGGTTTTTTCCAAGTCTAGCCACGTCCGGTTGAAGTCCACACAGAGGAGCTGGGAATGGGGAGAAGGGGGGAGAGAGGAGGGAGCGAGGAGGGATGGAGGCGGAAGGGAGGGAGGAGGGAGAGAGGGGGAGGGGGGAGAGAGGAGGAGGCGGGAGAGGGGAGAGAGGAGGGGGGACAGGGGAGAGAGGAGAGGGGAGAGAGGGGAGGAGGGGGGGAAAGAATGTGTGAATAGATGCCCATTTTCTGTGGACTTCGAGTTCTGAGATGAATGAAGGCATGAATAACTGTGTGAATCGCGTTGCGATGCGTGCGGTGCGAGGTTATGCAATGCGATGCAACGGGATGCAAGCATGCGATATGATGTGATGCGAGAACTTCCACAAACAATAGAGCCGCTTTTGAGGATTTCTCAAAAGCGGGATGCAAGCATGCGATATAATGTGATGCAAGAACTTCCAGGAGCAATGGAGCCCATCTTGGGCTTTAGTGATTTATCTGCACCTGCACTTATTAGCACCTGCACTTATTAGCACCTGCACTTATTAGCCTGCACTTATTAGCACCAGCACTTATTAGCACCTGCACTTATTAGCACCTGCACTTATTAGCACCTGCACTTATTAGCCTGCACTTATTAGCACCAGCACTTATTAGCACCTGCACTTATTAGCACCTGCACTTATTAGCACCTGCACTTATTAGCCTGCACTTATTAGCACCAGCACTTATTAGCACCTGCACTTATTAGCACCTGCACTTATTAGCACCTGCACTTATTAGCACCTGCACTAGTTCATCTGCAACTGCAGCACACACATGGTCGGGCCGAAGCCCATCAGAGCAGGTGAGGGCGGGGTTGAGCGGCTGTATGCGCGTGGAGAAACACTCACTTGAACTCATCTGCACCCACATAAACAAATGTACACTCACCTAAACCTACTTGCATCCACCTGCATCCACCTGCGCCCACCTGCGCTGCGCCCGCCTGCACTCATCGGCACTCATCTGCACCCATCATATGCACCCACCTGGCCGGGTCAGGGCCCATCAGAGCACGTGGGTTGCTTACACCTGCACCCGTCTCCACTCATCTGCACTCATCTCCACTCATCTCCACTCATCACCTGCAGCAGAACCCACCTGGCCGGGTCGGGGCCCATCAGAGCAGCTGAGGGCGGGGTTGAGTGGCTGAATGCGCGTGGAGAAGAGGGCGTTGAGGGAGTCACACGTGTCACCCTGCAGACATGGGAGGGAGTGGGAAGCAAAAGCGAGGTTATTAGGAGATTCGAGTTGAATGGCTGTAGGTGCGTGGAGAAGAGGGCGTTGAGGGAGTCACATGAGTCACCCTACAAGCACACATGTGAGGATGGGTTTAGAAGGGAGTGGGAAGAGAATGCGAGGTTATTGGGGAAATCGAGTTGAGCGTCTGTAGGCGAGTGGAAAAGCGAGCGTTGAGGGAGTCACACGAGTCACCCTGCAGACACACATGTCAGGTTTAGGGCACATTCCAGGCTCGTGTCAATCTGCGATTGGTGTCAGATGCCAATCGCGCTTGACACGAGGTGGAGCCGCGCCCGCACGCGGCTCCAGCCTAATCCAATGTTGAGCACATTGGGCCACTTCCTGCAATCACAATGGTCGGTTTAGCTGACACCAGGAGGAATATTCCTCCAGCAGTTTTCAGTTGACACCGCAGCACCCATGGGGGTCAGGACCCCAGCCACAGTGGGGACCCAGCCCTCCTCCCTGGCCGCAGCAGCAGTTGAACTTTGGCACAGCAGCCATGGCCGCTCAAGCCTCACCTGCCCCCCTTTGGGGTGCCCCACCCCCCCCAAGTAGCACTGCCACCCCTCTCACTCACGAGAGCTTCCTTGGCAACATAGCTATTTCGCCCTCTCTTCCTTCCATGTACCCATCCAACATTAATGAAACCACTTTCCAGTACTCAGTGTCTTCCTCCTCCTCCTCACCCACTCTGGACTTTGTCCTTGACAGTGGGGCCACTGAGACCGCCCTCAAAGACGCTGGTACACTCACACCCCTCTCCCCTCCCACTCAAGTTCACGGTGCTGACAGCAGCTTCACCATCCCATGCACACACCTCTCCACTCTCCCCTGTTCACTCTTCCCCTCTGGCAAGGTAACTGGTCTCCACATCCCCACTCTCCGAAACAACCTCCTCTCCCACCGTGAAATCCAAGGTGCAGGTATCACTGCCGTCTATCCTGGTAATGCCACCTACTGTGACCTTTACCACACTGCCTCCGGCCGCTTCCTCCTCCGCATACCCCTCTGCCCTCGCACTCGCCTCTACACTCTCCGCACTCCGTGGCCATCCTCCTGCCATGTTACCACTCGTGCGGGTACCTCCACCAGCCCTCCCCATCTCCCTCCCTCTCCTCCCACTCCGTCTCCTCCCCACTCCTCCATCCCTTCCTCACTCATTCCAATCCCCTCCACCTCCGACCATCTCTCCCACCCCGCTGTTCTCCTACATCACCGACTCGGCCATCCGAATTTTGCCGCTCTCCGCACTGCCGTCACCTCACGACTTCTTCACAGCCTCCCTCCAACGCTTCCTCCCCTTCCCTCCTCCCCAGCCCCCCCATGCCCCTCCTGCATCCACGGCAAACTCAAACAATCTCCTCACCACAGCCACCCATCCTTCGCTCCTGCACCCATTGACCTTGTCCATATGGACCTCTGGGGGCCCTCTCCCACCCGCTCACGCCAAGGCCATCGCTACATGTTGGTTCTTGTTGACGATCACAGCCGCTACTCCTCCATTTTCCTCCTCCACACCAAAGACCAGGCGCCGACCATTATCATTAACTGGGCAGAGCAATGCCGCACCCACTTCAAACGTCCCATCGGCCGCCTCCACTCTGATGGGGGAGGCGAATTCCTCAACCGCACTCTCTCTCACTACTGCACCACCCATGGCATCCAACAGACCCACACTCTTCCCCACTCCCCACAGCAGAACGGCGTTGCAGAAAGCCGCATTCGCGAAATCACTAAGATCGCCCGCTGTCTCCTTGCTCACGCCTCCACCCCTCCCTCTCTCTGGGGCTATGCCCTCCTCCATGCTGCCCTCCTCCTCAACCTTCACTCCCATCCCCAACACACTGCCGCTACCCCCACGGAGCTCTGGTCAGGAACCAAACCTGACGCTGCCGGTCTCCGTGTCTGGGGTTGCAAGGCATATGTGCTTATTCCTCCACCCGACCGCACCCAAGGCAAGCTCGCTCCTCGCGCCCTCGAGTGTGTCTACCTCGGACACAACCGCGACTCGCCTGGTTACCTCTTCCTTCACCCTCCCTCTGGTCGCCTCATCCGCAGCATTGACGTTGTGTTCGATGAGACCACCCCGTACTACTCCTCCCCACCACCGGACCCCCTCCCTCCTCCCACACGTCCTCTCGCTTGGGCCGACACCGTCCTCCCTCCCCTCCTCCCTCCGGCACCTCTTCTCCCACCCCTCCCCACCCCGCTTCCGCCACCTTCATCCGCCGACGTCTACGATCCCACTGCTCCTGCCTCCCCCGCACACTCCACGGCTCCCCCTCCCCCCTCCCCTTCCCACTCCCCTCCTCATCCATCACAGCAGCAGCAGCAGCAGCAGCAGCAGCAGCAGCAGCCGCAGCAGCAGCAAGGGCAGCACCAGCAGCAGCAGCAGCAGCAGCAGCAGCCGCAGCAGCCACAACAGCAACAGCAGCCGCAGCAGCAGCAGCAGCAGCAGCAGCAGCAGCAGCCGCAGCAGCAGCAGGGGTTCCAGCAGCACCAGCAGCAGCAGCGGCGCAGGGCAATTGCCCGCTCCTCACCCTTCCTCCTCCCTCGCATGCACACCCGCTCCCTTGACCCCATCCTTGGTGCACCGTCTCCTCCCTCCCTCAACCAACTGGAGGACTCCCATGAGGAGTTCACCATGGTCCGGCGCCACACTCCCTCTCTCACAGTACTTTCCCCTGACCTCCTCGGCGCCCTACTCCTTAGCGCGATCCCCGCTCCCACCATCTTCGTCCCCTCCACTTTCCAAGAGGCTATCACCTGCCCTGACGCCGATAAGTGGATAGCCGCCATCTTTCAGGAATGTGAAGCATTCATCCACAATAACTCCTTCATTGACGTTCCCCTCCCTCCTGACGCCAACCTGGTTGAGGGCAAGTGGATCTTTCGAGTCAAGCAGCTGCCGGGAGAAGAACCAGTCTACAAAGCCCGCTACGTTGCCAAGGGGTTCACCCAGACCTGGGCTGAGGACTACTGGTTCACGTTCGCCCCCACCGTCAAGCAGGCCACCCTACGCACCCTTCTTGACATCGGTGCAAGAGACGACATGGAGATTGACTCCATGGACGTCTCCAACGCTTTCCTGCAAGGTGAACTGCACGAACGCATCTTTCTCCGCCGACCTCCCGGGTTCCATGCTACGTTCCCCGACAACACCGTCTGGCAGCTGAAGCGACCGGTCTACGGCCTGAAGCAGGCACCACGAGAATGGCATGCGAAGCTGTCTGCTACTCTCCAGTCCCTTGGCTTCTCCCCCTCCCACTCCGACGCCAGCCTCTTCATCCGCTCTTCCCCCAGTCGCTTTTTCATCTCGGTCTACGTTGACGACATGATCCTGCTGGCGGACTCCAGGGCCGACATGGACCAGATGAAGCGGTCACTTCAGGAACGACTCAAGTGCAAGGACCTTGGTCCCCTCCAGAACTACCTCGGCATGGCTATCACCCGTGATCGATCCGCCCGCACCATCACTCTCTCCCAGTCCCACTACATCGGCCAGGTCCTGGAGAAGTTTGAGATGGCGCAGGCCAAACCAGTCTCCACCCCCCTCCCCTTCGGTCACCAACTTGCGCCACCCACCTCCCCCTCCTCCTCCTCCCGGCCCTACGCCGAGCTCGTTGGGTCGCTGATGTACGCGATGATGTGCACCCGCCCCGACCTCGCCTACCCCGTCAGCGTCCTTGCTCGGTTCGTCGGCTCTGGCCGTCACACTGAGGAACACTGGGCTGCCGCCAAGCGGGTCCTTCGCTATCTCTGCGGCACCAAGGATCACGCTCTCACACTGGGTGGATCCTCCCCTCCCCTTCTCTCGGGCTTCAGTGACTCCTCTTGGGCAGACAATCAGCCAGACCGCCGCTCCTCCCAAGGCTATGGCTTTACCCTCGGCAGCGGACTTATCAGCTGGCGTTCCACCCGCTCCTCAGCCATCGCTCTCTCTTCCTGCGAAGCTGAGCTCTATGCGGGCACCATGGCCGCTCAAGAGTCCCGCTGGCTCTGCTTTCTTCTGGCAGAGCTTGGTGCCCCCCAGCGCTGTCCCACGCTCTGGTGTGACAACGCCAGCACCATCCACCTCACCCAGGATCCAGTCTTTCATGGTCGCTCCAAGCATATCGAGCTCCGTTATTTCTTCATCCGCGACCTCGTCCGACAGAATCTTATCGCCGTCCGCAAGATCGCCACTGAAGCCAATTTGGCGGATATCTTCACCAAAGCACTTCTTCGCCCCGCGCACTCTGCTCTCCTCCGCCTCATTGGCCTCGCTCCCCCAGGCGCGCCTTGATTCAGGGGTTGCTTCTCTCCAGCCTTTCCGCATCTCTGCAGGTTAAGGGGTTGTGTTAGAATATCTCCTCTCTTGTAACCTGCATATATGCTATAGGATAGGCTAGAGATAAGCACCCAAACTTAGTTTGGGTGTACAAGCAGGGGTTACCCAATTTGTAGGTTGGAAACCCAACCTTGGTCCAATTATTGGACCCCAAGGGTTGGGATGGGTAGAATTATTGGTCCCCTCCAATAATGTTGGCCCAACTCCAACTTGGCCAACATTATTGGACCCCACCAATAATCTCCCAACCCAACTCCTTGGTTGGGGTCCAATAATGTTCACCTAGGCTAGTTTCCAACTCATCTCCTATGTAAACCCCCCATCCTTTCAATCAATCCATCAACTTCTCTTCTAACTTTTCTTCTCACATAAGGGTGTGTGTAGTAGGTGCGTGTTGTCTTACATGCATAAGGGTGTGTGTAGTAGGTGCGTGTTGTCTTACATGCATAAGGGTGTGTGTAGTAGGTGCGTGTTGTCTTACATGCATAAGGGTGTGTGTAGTAGGTGCGTGTTGTCTTACATGCATAAGGGTGTGTGTAGTAGGTGCGTGTTGTCTTACATGCATAAGGGTGTGTGTAGTAGGTGCGTGTTGTCTTACATGCATAAGGGTGTGTGTAGTAGGTGCGTGTTGTCTTACATGCATAAGGGTGTGTGTAGTAGGTGCGTGTTGTCTTACATGCATAAGGGTGTGTGTAGTAGGTGCGTGTTGTCTTACATGCATAAGGGTGTGTGTAGTAGGTGCGTGTTGTCTTACATGCATAAGGGTGTGTGTAGTAGGTGCGTGTTGTCTTACATGCATAAGGGTGTGTGTAGTAGGTGCGTGTTGTCTTACATGCATAAGGGTGTGTGTAGTAGGTGCGTGTTGTCTTACATGCATAAGGGTGTGTGTAGTAGGTGCGTGTTGTCTTACATGCATAAGGGTGTGTGTAGTAGGTGCGTGTTGTCTTCCAGGCATCAGGCACTAAGAGGCTTTTTTGAATCTTGTATTCTCCCATCGATCCTTACTCGCTGCTTAACCCAAGTGACCTTTTGCCACCCGTTGCAATCATGCGTTTTTCTTCCTACATCACACCTTGGGACTATCTCTTGCTTGCTTGATCACCTGCAACTGGTTGCTGCTACCTTCACCAAGAACACTGTCTGCTACATGCAACAGAGATTTGGCACTCTCTAACCCAGCTTTCTTCTTCCGGGTGCATGTCTCCTTCCTCCATCTCTCACTCATATCCGATTTTTGATTCGACTAAAAAATCCACTCTCTAACCCAGCTTTGTTCCTCCTGGTGCATGTCTCCTTCCTGCATCTCTCACTCACATCCGTCTCTTGACCCCGTCTGCCTACAGTCTTTCAGTGGGGTGGTCGCTTCTTGGGCTCTACCTTTGGCCGCAGGCACAGCCTGGCGGAGGTATCAAGCACTGCTTTGAGTCGACTCAAAATGCCTCTCTCTCTCTCTCTCTCATATACAAATCTCTCTCTCTCTCTCTCGCTCTCTCATATGAACCCGTCTGCCTACAGTCTTTCAGTGGGGTGGTCGCTTCTTGGGCCCTACCTTTGGCCGCAGGCACCACCTGGCGGAGGTATCAAGCACTGCTGCTTTTGATGCCTGTGATATCAAGGCAGTTTCCAAGGTGCACGTGAAGCCCACGCGCAAGGCTAGAAAGTCTTTCACTGTTGGAGCACGGCAGCTGTTTGTTAGCACGGTTGGGAAGGACTGTGGCAAGCATGGCATGAAGCTAACAGTGGGGTCGAGGTGAAGTTGCATTTTTCCAATATGACATGTTGAAGAAGATTGAATTGGTCCATAAGCTTTCAGTCTGGGTTCAGTTTGGTTTGAGTCACCCTGATCCATGAGTGTCCCCAGAGGATGTTTTGATTGAAGGTGGAAGTTTTGTATAATCCTCACAACAAATCATGTAGGGTCCAGGTTCGATGCAGTCAGATGGTACGGTAGTAGACTGATGAATCAGCCCACACCCCAGACAAAAAGCCCTAAAATTTGTATACACTGCAAAGCAATCACCAAAAACAAACTTCATCCTCCAAAGCAAACAACCGTAGTGAGTGAGCTTCCTGTTACTCTCAGAGATGCATAAGGGCATTCTCCATAACTAACAATCATGAGACCACCTTCGTTGGGAGCGTATACAGTGGCATGAGAAGCAATTTGCCTTCGAAGTTTTCCATTTATACAGGTAAGCAAAGCAACATGCCAATCCACAACCTACTTACAGTGCAATCATATCCATTGTTAAGCTCCCTAAACTTGTCAGTACTGCGGCGGTATTTCTTAGCGATCAACATGCCGCATGTGTCTCCTCGCTTCACACTGTATGTTCTCTTGGTGGAACATGAAATGCCAGACAACGGCCGGGCATCAATAGCAGCCACACAAACCTGCGAGTCAACTCAACCATCAGTACAACAAGGGGAAGAACAAGACCTGCATAAGTTCACATTCATGCAGTACATACACCCAGACAGACATACAGACAGACAGACAAACACACAGACACAGACAAACACACGGAAAGACACACAGACAAACACACAGACAGACACACACACACAGAAACACATAGACAGACACACGGACAGACGCACAGAGACACACACAGACAGATACACACAGAGACAGACGCCCAGACAATCGCACAGACAGACACACAGACAGGCACACGGACCGACACACAGACGGACGGACGGACGGACATGCATGCGCGCACACACATTCTAGCCGGCTGTGAAGCACATAAGTGCAACCAGCTCCCACCGTTTCTGACAGAATCTTGCATGTCACTGCCTGAAACTACTCCCAGAAACGAGTTTTGAGTCGACTCAAGAATCTCGACTCAAGAATCTAATTTTGAGTTGACTCAAGAATCTTGACTCAAGAATCTGGCATGTCACTGCCTGAAACTACTACCAGAAACGGATTTCTTGCAGCCCACTCATCTACTGCTCACACCCTCAACCCCTTGGTTGAGTTAAGAGTCGCCCCTAAGTCGAAAAAACTCGAAGTTTTAATGGACTCGACTCGACTCTGGGCCAAGAAAAGGACTCGCAGAACTAGTCGAGTGAAATTCGACTCGTCATTTGTCCACGTCTAGTGTGCGGAGCCCAAGTGTGGGCTGCTTGGCAGTGGGCTGGCGGATGCAGGAGGTATTCTGGGAGACCAAGACCATTTCCTTACCTTTTTGCACTCTTGCACACTCTCTCACAGACTCTCTCTCTTGCACACACTCTCACA